TTCATCCACATCCCTCCTAAAAGCCACATGTCCTTCACTTTCCCCTATTTTTGTACACATTTGGGCTCAGCCATAGCTTACAAAGAATTGGAATCAACAATGAAGCCTTATTATACAGCACCATCTCTCCCATAGAGTGCAGAACTCTAAGAATCTGTGAGTTGGATAGAAAGTAAAGGCTAAATGAGAGGGAACAATATTGGGTACACAAAGGCTTAGACACAGAAAAGTGACTGGTGTGGATGGATAACATTATGATGTTGGGATTTTAAAAGAGAACTTGCCATTAGAAACTCAAGGTCCCAGTAATCACAGTTCTGTCCTATGACAAATCCCTGGAGCTCTTGATCTGAGGTTCAACTTAAAACTCAGTTGTTTGCTCAACTGGATGGTGGGAAGATAGAGCTGCCAACCTTCCATTTTGTTGGGTCAAAAGTGAAAGGAGATACATGTGTAAATTTCCTCTGCAGACTCTAAAAATGCTTTGCAATTGCAAAAGCATAAAATGAGAAGTATTAGGATATAAACTAGAAAAATAGTTTATGACAGATTATAAGACGATGACAGGAAACAAGTGCAGTAAAGCTGGGAGACATTAAAAATCACATAACCACATAGACGACCCAAGTAATGAATCTGTTCAGTCTAAAAACACACTTTACATTTCTCCACAGTTGATTTACATTCCTGGTTTACTGTGGAAATTAGTATCCATGATTTAGAAAGTTTTGGTTAGCCAGTTCTGTTGGCAATGCTTCTGCAATTGTATTTAAAGCAGAGATGCTCTATCAAGAAGCATCTATTTAAAGTCCCATAGTGTCTGCCTTTCAAATCCTAGCACAATTGACAAAACTGCACAAATTCAGAATTTATAATAATGTTACATTTGGCCTGTATCATATCTCATCAAGAATAAATGAATCACAATGAAAATTGTTTTACATAGAGCAGTTAACTTCTTGTCATTGACTCAGATGAGTTGACTATAGATTTTGACCAACTGTGGTGAGAATAGGAGATGAGGGAACAAAAGAAAAGAAGCATTTTTGTCTTTTCTTTAGTACAAAGGATTTAAAGAGTGTGCCTGCACAGAATTCTAAGGCCATAGATAACATAAGCTTTCACATTCATGTGGAGTGTGAAGTTGGCTGAGGGTATGCCTACATCCCTGAGTAATGGTTCAAAAAACACTGAATTTACCAATAGAAAAATGACTCACTTATAGAAATTCCTTTGAAACCAGAGACTCCAAGACCAAGATATTTGGGGCTGAGCAACCAAGATGGGGCACTTACCAGCAGCCAAGTGAGCAGGATTAAAGATGGGGCAACTGCTAATGATTCATCAATTGGGAAAGTGGATTCAGGTTGTGGAGTAATACTGCCTGTGCTCCATTCTTCCAAACTATTGGTTGATGTGGATGCCTCTCTAAACAAACAGGGATATCAAGATGACTTAGGTTTATATTTTATGGCCTTTAGATTTAATAAGATGCCAGTCCTTCAAATTTTCTTTCTTCCATATTTGTAAATCTAGAAGACATCACAACGAGAAGAGCTGAAACAAGCTAGTACAAAGAGCCTAAAAGAGCAGAATCCACAAGGTATATGATGGATTGCTTCTTCAGGAAAGAAGATCCTTTGGCAAATTTGACTTGGAAATACAATATTTAAATTTTATGCAGACAACAACCCCAGGTTTTACTATTAGTGGAACCCTCAAATATGTCATTCTTAGAGTCAAAAAACAGATAAAAGAACTTGTAAAATAATACTTGTTAAAAGCTCAGTTTTGTTTACATAATTAAAATCCCGGAGTGGAAATATCTTCAAATGTATTCATTATGTAAGAATTTACTGCCACCACCTACGTGGTTTGAGTGTTAGCTATTAACTAAAAATGAAAGAGGAGAGAAAGGGATACAGTTTGAGGAGATGCCTTTTGCACCCTTTAAAATAAATTGCAGTTAAATTAAACTGGAGAATACTAAGGAGAAAAGAGAAGTGATGGACAGTGGAAGAAGAGGGGAAGGGTTGTGACCTCCAGTGGCTAACCATAAACTCTCTTTCAGTGTGCATGCTCTCGGTGATATATGGGATCCTGGCTTTATTGAGAAGTAGCACTCTACTTTCAAGAAAGCAGAACTGTTGAGTCAGCCACAGCAGCAGTTTCTGTTGGCAGAGTTCAAGCTTAATATAGGAAGCCAGCCCCAAGTCCATAGTGCCAGGAAGCCTCCATCTGAAAGCGGCTCACTTGATACTCTTCAGCTAAGCGTGGCATTTAATTAGTCTTCTTTTTTTTCTTCTTTTTTAACCTCCTGTTAATTTTAGGATGTGTTAGAAACACAATGATTTGATTATTTTATTTTTCCTGGCCTTCTTGATTTTTTGGCAGGGTTCAGGAGGGATTTATCAGGGATTAAACTCAGGGGCACTCAACCACTGAGCCATATCTCCAGCCTTATTTTGTATTTTATTTAGAGACAGGTCTTACTGATTTGCTTAGTGCCACACTTTTGCTGAGACTGGCTTTAAATTCACGATCCTCCTGCCTTGGCCTCCTGAGCTGATGGGATTACAGGCATGCACCATTGCACCCATCAGTCAAATCAGCTCAAATAATTACTGGCAAAATAATCCTTGGCTTCAGTTTTAAATTGTTATTTTGAATGGATACAGTGGTACATGCCTATAATCTCAGCAACTTGGGAGACTGAGGCAGGAGGATCACAAGTTTGATCACAACTTAATGAGACCCTGACTCAAAATACAAAATAAAAAAGTAGCTCAGTGGTAAAGTATGTCTGGGTTCAATCCTCAGCATAACCGGAAAAAATGTCATCATGTATAAGAACAGCTTAAGTGGTTTTGAATGTGGAAAAGTAAAGAGCTCAGTAGGAAGAGTTCTTTTTTTCTCTCTCTCTGTCATAGTTCTTAGTTTCAATGTACTCTGTCCATTTTTCAACTTAGAATGTTAGGGTAAACCTCCAAATTTCAATTATTTATGCAATTGGTTACTGGAGATGCTATATGCATATCTGGCTCCTGGATTAAGGTTTTAATTTTATTTTTAATA